CTCGAGGGCGGGGCTCCCCGCGCGGGGGGGCCCCGCGCCGCGGCCCGGCAGCTCCGGAGCTGGCGTCTGGAGGCGCCGGTCCGCCCAGGGCCCGGGGCGCATCGGCGCCACGACGCAGAAACAGAAGCAGGGCCGTCTGGTGTCATCTGAGGACCTTTTCCCTCCCTCCCTCCCTCCCTCCCTCTCGCTCCCGCACAGACACGCGCAAGCATGCCGCGCTCCGCGCCGACACCGACTCCAAGGACCTCTCCCCCCTTCCCTCCTCTACCCTTTTTTATGCATCTCGCAGTGCATGTTGTTCAGACACGCCAGATGATTCCTGAGGCCACGGCCTCGCCCACCTGGTCTTAGCCAAGCCCGGAAGGTGTCCGCAGCGGTGGTCGTTCGTGCGTGTGCTACTTGAGGCTTCGGGCTGCGCGCCAGACAGCCCCCCCCCAGGTAGTCCCTGCCAGCCTCAGCATGCCCCCCGAGTAGAGTCCCAGCTGGCCTCAACGGGCCCCCCGATTATAGTCTGGGGCGGTCTCAACACCCTGGCGCCGCCTCCGGCGGCGCCCCTGGGGCGGTCCGCGCCCCAGGGTTGAGGTGTCGAGACCGCGGTGGGCTACTGGGTTGGGGGGGCATGTTGAGGCCCGCCGGGACTGCTCGGGGCGCTTGCTGAGGCCAGCCGGGACTGCCTGGGCGGGCCGTCGGCGCGCACCCCGCAGCCTCACCATCGTCTGCGCCGCCGCTGGCTCGCAAGCTGCCCGCGTGAGGTCGCGGGTAAGCGCCCTCGTCTCCAATGTAGCGTGCCGCGCCGGCGGCCCGGGTAAGCCGCCGAGCCACCGCGTACGTAAGGTCGCTATGGCATCTCGCGTAGGGACCCTCTCTTTTCGTCGCGCACCTCGAGGAGCCAGACTCGGCGGCGCGCTCAAGGGGGAGCTCCGAGATCCTGGCGCTGGAGTTTTGTCCACAACGGGCGATGTTGGCTCCTTTTCGGGCCCTGGGGCCATCACAGATCGATCTGGGTAGGCGTCGCGTAGAGGGGGGGCGCCGCCGACCTTGAGGTTGGGGAGGAGGGCGCGGAGCATGGGGAGGAAGATGAGGAGGGGGACAGGAGGACGAGGAGGAGGAGTAGGAGGCGGAGGAGGAAGAAGAAGCAGAAGAAGAAGAAGAAGACGAAGAAGAAGAGGAGGATTTATCGTCCCCCCATTCAGCGACGCCCAGTCTGGTGGGGGGGGGGTCCCGGGGCTCCAGGCGAGATGTTCTGCGATGCCTTCTTTTGCTGCTTCGCTGCGTCGCGGGCTGTCCGGGGAATCGGCGGCGCGCCCACAAGCAGGGAGGGGCGGGCGGCGAGGGGGCGGGCCCGTCCAGGGAGCCCCTCGGCCCCTCGCCGAGGCCACGGAGGGCTGCTCAGGAGGCCGGGGGAGGGGGCTCCGGAGAGGCCCCGCCGCCTGCAGAGAAGGGCTTCCCCCCTCTCCTTGGCGAAGCGCCGAGGTTTCGACGGCCAGGAGTGACTTCCGAAAAACCCGAGCGACCCTTGAGCTCCAGGCGCAGCACCTGTTCTGCAGCAGGCGGTTCGCTTCACTTCGGGTCCTGCAGAGGATCCTCACGGACCGATCAATGTCCATAAATGCAGCAGGAGCACAGGGTCTAGGACTCTGGTTGTGTGATGTTCACGATGCTGGATCTTTTTGCCGCGACGTCGGATCTCAGGGACTGTTGGCGGTCATCCGTGTTGTTCGTCCCCAGGGCCAAGACAGAGGACGATGAGGAGACCGAGAAGGTGGATGTCGAAAATAGCAAAGAGGCGGCAAAGAGGGAGGACAGAGAAGGACCAGAAAGAGGAGGAGGATGAGAACGAGGAGGATCAGAAGGTGCAGGAGGAGGAGGAGGAGGAGGAGGAGAAGGAGAAGGAGGAGGAGGAGGAGGAGGAGGAGGAGGAGGAGGAGAGGGAGGAGAAGGAGGAGGGAGAGCAGCAGGGTGATGATGACGATGATGATGATGAGGAGGAGGAGGAGGAGGAGGAGGAGCAAGGGGAGGTAGAGGAGGAGGAGGAGGAGGAGGAGGAAGAGGAGGAGGAGGACCAGTGTAAACCCAAGACTCATCAACGATATTTAGAATACACCCTCCCTCCAAGCTTCCTCTTCACAGGCCCCTACAATGGTTAATTTCCACTGAGGGAATTGCCCCGTAAGGGGGGGCAACCGTATGGAAATCTTGAAGCCTGCTGAAACCCATAATTCTTTGGACTTCAACGCTACGGGTTAGCTTGACTGGCACATCTTTGCGATCCTGAATCGCGCCAGCAACACCAGTTCTAGGACGTCAACAACGCGAGCCAGGGCAACTGTTGCGCCCTGACAATCTTGAATCGCAACAAGGTAATTGTTGTTGGTACGCAAACTATCAGAACCAGTGAACCTCTTACCACAGCAAGAGTGTGCGCGGCGCTAAGGCTAGAGCCACAATTTGAAAACGAACCGCTCTCAATCCGTGAACTTCCTACAAATTTCACAACGGGTGTGCGCAGGGTTGAGCCGAGAGCCACATTGTGCAATCGATCCGCCTTCAATATGTGTTCCTGTAAGTGTTTCGAACGAATGCCCGAGGCGCGAAGGCGAGAGCCTCATTCTGAAAACGACCCACCCTCAATTCGTGAAACTCTTGCGGCCTTCTTGCACGAGTGTGCGCGGCGCTGAGGCGAGAGCCACATGCTGAAAACGCTCCGCCCCCAACCCGTGAAACTCGTGCAGGTATTTGAAACGAACGTGCGCGTCGCTCAGGCGAGAGCCACATGTTAAAAACCACCCGCCCTCAACCCGCGAAACTCTTTGCAGATGTTTCAAAACGAATGTGCGCGGCGCTAAGGCGAGAGCAGCATGTCGAAACTCACCCGCACTTTATGTGTGAAGCGGTTACTTTCTGAAGAGTTCCATGGTCAGAGCTGCCGAGGAAGTCTCAGGCGGAACGCGCCGCCCGCCCTTTCGACCGGCCTCGGGCCGCGACAGGAAGGAGTTTCCCATAAGGAAGATGGAGGGAGGGGACATGGCGGAAGGAGAACGAGGTGGAGGGAGAGAAGGAGCGGGAGGAGGAGGATGAGGAGGAGGAGGACGAGGTTGAGCAGGAGGAGGAGGAGGGGAGCTGGAGGAGGGACACGAGAACGAGGATGATGATGATGATGATGATGATGATGATGATGATGATGATGATGATGATGATGATGATGGTAATGAAGATGATGCTGATGACGGTGATGACGATGATGACGATGGTAATGACGATGAAGATGATGAAGATGGTGGCGGTCATGGTGATGATGACGATGGTGATGACGGTGATGGCGATGGTGATGATGATAATGATGATGATGATGATGATGATGATGATGATGATGATAATGATGATGATGATGATGATGATCATGATGATGCTGATGCTGATGATGATGGTGATGATGATGACGATGAAGGTTGATGATTTTGATATTCATCACGCACATATTTAGGATAATGCTGAACGTGTTGATGATGACGATGTTGCTGCTGATGGTGCGGGGGGGGTGGGGGATGGGGATTTGAAGCAGGAGGAAGAGGGGGAGGTGGAGGAACAAAAGGAGAAGGAAAGGAAGGAACACGAGGAGGGGTGAGAGGACGGGGGGAGGAGGAGGCCGAGCAGAGGAAGAGGAGGAGGAGGAGGAGGAGAAGGGGCATTAGGAGGGGCAGGGGGAGGAGAAAGAGAAGGATGAGGATTGGGAGGAGGAGGAGGAGGAGGAGGAGGAGGAGGAGGAGGAGAAGGAGGAGGGGGAGGGGGAGGGGGAGGAGTCCAAACCCAAGACGCACCAACGATGTTGCAATACACCCTCCCTCCATGTACGAGTTTTTCCCCGGTTCCCATATGGATTTGTTTCCATTGCAGGGAGCGGACCATTAAAATCGTGCCAAATCGCAATCCTTGGGACTTCAGCGCCACGGATCCACGCGACCGTTACGCCCCGACAATCTGTAATCGGGTCAGGAGACCGTCCTTACAATTTCAAACACACGAGTCCTTGGAATCGTTGCACGGTTTGAAAATTACGTCCCGAGAATCTGTCATCGTGTCAGGAGACCGTCCTTACAATTTCAACCACACGAGTCCTTGAAACCGCTGCATGCTTTGAAGAGAACAAACGTGATCGGCGCTAGCGCGAAAACCACGAAGCAGCTGCAAGCTGCTTAGGACAAGCGTGCGTCTTGCCAACGCGCGAGCCACGTTTCGAAAAGAAGAGCCGCCCTCCATCCGTGAAACAGCTGCAAACTTAATACGAATGTGCGCAGCTCTGACGCGAGAGTTGCATTTTGAGAAGGGCCGGCCGTCTGTCCTTGAAGCTGCTGCAAACTTCAAGACGATTGTGCGCGGCGCAGAACAGGAGGAGGAGAATATGAGGAGGAGAAGAGGAGGAGGAGGAGGAGGAGGAGGAGGAGGAGGAGGCGAGAGCCACGTTTTGAACATGGCGCGCCCTCCGGCCGTGAAGCTGGTGAAGTTTTGTGAGACGAGTGCGCGCGGCGCGAAGACGAGGGCCACGGTGCAAGGACGACCCCGCCGTTCGCTCGTCAGCATTTTTTTGTGAATTTGGAAGACGCGCGTGCGCGGCGTGACGGCGAGAGCCGCATTCTGAGGTCGGCCCGCCCTCCATCCACGCAGCCGCTGCACATCCTCGGGATCACACGTGGCGAGGACGTCTCGAGCGAAACGCTCGGGCCGCCCTACCGTCACGCCTGGGGGGTGCGACAGTGAATCTCTATATGTGTATGTGTGCATGTGTTTAAAAAAAAGCTGGAAGAAGAGGAGACGGAGGAGAGCAAGGAGGAGGGAGAGGAGGGCGATGAGGAGAAGGTGGAGGCGGAGGACAAGGAGAACAAGAAGGAGAACGAGGACGAGGAGGAGAAGTCGGGAGCGGGCCGCATCTGTGTACGCTCGGGGGGGGGCTTCCAGGCCAACGCGAGGGCTCAGGAGGGCACGGCGCTGGTAACGCTATCCTTGCCTCGTTTTCGCCATTCGGAGGAGAGGGGGAGGAGGAGGAGGAGGAGGAGGAGGAGGAGGAGGAGGA